AGTCAAGTCCATATCTGCACAAGAACAGCGGTGGGAATTAGATGGTCATGTAGAAATTCATCTTCTCTGGGATGCCCCAGTATGACCAAGTCTCTGTGACAAAAGCCGGAATAACCATGGGTGCTGGGAATAGCTGTCTTAGCTACCTGCTGTGTGCAAAGTTTCCAGCAAAGCAGAGAAAATCTGCCTTGGTCTAATTCTCACTTTGGGAATTGGACATTTTCTGCATCTTGGGTTTATTTTGAGCCAGCCAGGCTCTCAGTGAGTGGGGCTTCTGCTCCCTGAATTCTACCTTTGGAGTGAGGCATTCAAGAAGGAAGTCTGGGAGCCTTCTCTGCCCAGGCTTCGGGACAGGACTCTTGCTTCTTAAAGTCCACAGTGGGCTTTGGCTGATGTCTCAGACCCCGAAGAGATGCCTGTCACTCTTTCCCTGACGGAAAATCGGAGAGACCTGGGGCATAGGGCTCACCAAGGCACAATGTGCCCGGGGCCTGTCTGTCCGTGGACTTCCAGTCAGTCTCCTGCCTTCACCCCAAAGGTCAGAGTCCTTTTGGGAAAAGGCATTTTTTCCCCCACAAGTACCAGTATTTCTCATAAATTTGATGCCAGACAGGTTGGGAGGTGGTCTTCTTACCCTCTATTGGTTTCCCCCTTCTTTCTGTTCCCTGCTCCCCTCCTTCCAGCTGGTCTCCTCTCCCCTCCCATCCTCTGCCTCTCCTCTCTCTTTCTCCCTCCCTCCTCTCTCCTCTTCTCCCCCCCCCCCTTTTATCTCCAGGGCCCCATTGTTCTGTGCCTTCCAACAGGGCTTGAGACAGGGTAAAATTGGAAGGTCCCTGCCTTTCCTTCCCTGACCTCTGCTGCCTTCCTATAACCTGACCCTGGTTAGCGGGCTTTCTGGCTTCTTCAAATCAGTGACACCCCTGGGAACAAATGCTGTGGTCACCGTCACCTTAAGAGAGGTGACAGCGTGAAAGGGAAAGAGCTGACCCCAAATGAAGGGCTTCCCTAGAGCTGCCAGGAAGGAGATGGCATCTTCCTGGGACATTGGTACTGGGTCGGGGAGGAGAAAGGTGGGGAATACCTCTGTCTCCATTGTACCAGTCCCTGCTGCCCAGCACCCTGACCCCACTAGAGAGCTCATTCCTCAGCCCCAAGGCACAGGGAGCACCATATGGGCAGCTGGACACCTGGAGGAGAGGCCAGGCTTCGTTCCCCTTAATGTGCTATTATCTGTCTTGAGATACAGTGTGTCTATTCCAACAGGTGACCAGTGGGAAGGAATGGAGCACAGAGAGCTTGCTGCTTTTCTCAGTCTGCTTTTCTCTTTATTGGGGGTGGGAATGGGGAGAGAAATGGGGGAGGGAGAGAAACAGAGATGGGTAGAAAGAAGAGAGAGAGAGACACACACACGGAGAGAGACACCAGGCTATTTGCAGTGGCACCAGCAGGCGTGCCCAGGGTAAAGCAGGTGGCATAAATCGCGTGCACAGTCTCTGTAGACGACCACTTTAAATCTTAATTGGTTGCCTTTTAAATATCATTTAAGGGCCGGCTTCCCTGCCTCTCTCTCTCTAGTTAAGAAGGTGTCGTGTCAAACCCTATTACCTTGCTGGACATCTCTTCCTTAAGTTAAAAAAAAGGGGGAAGGCGGGAGGAAAGGGAGGAAAAGAAAAAAATGGAACTATCAGCAGCGGTTTGAGGGGTCGATAAAGCTTTTAGATTTTGAGACGGTTTCCGGGAGCCCATTTCCTGCGGCTAAGAGTTGTTAATGGAGCTTAAGGAATTATCTTAGATTCGCGCCCGCGCCGTATATTTCCCGCGCCTGTTCCCCTGTCGGCTCTGGATCTGCGGCTGTCAGACTCGCTTAATGAAAAGTAACGCGCCGCTGATTGCAGTTTTATTTGGGCTCTATGTAAAGAGCGCCGTTAATTTAGCACCCTCCTCGGTGTGTTTGAATTCGCCACGCCTGAGTGGCTGAGCGTCGGTCCCCAGCTCCTTCCCTGACAGCCGCCCTGGGAGCGAAGCGGGGCCCCGCCCTGGGACAGCGACCTTTCCCTGCAGCATCCTTTCCTCTTCACCGCCAGCCTCCGCCTCACTTCGGGACCTTCTTCGCCTGCCCCCCAGCCCCGCGGAAATCGGCCTGAGGGCTGGTCAGGTGCACAAAGAGAAACCTTCCGGGAATACTCCCCCAAACGTCGGGGTGTGGGGCGAAGTGACCGTCTCAGTTTCGGGCGTCCTTTTGGGTTAGTCGCCTTGGGATGTGGCTCAATCCCTCCGCCCACTTGATGTCTTTATTTCGCAGAATTTTGCAGTTTAATCAAATACACCTCTTTGGGTCAGCCAGCTCCACCGAGAACTGGGTGCGCCTGCAGCGTGGGACCTCCCCGGCCTGGGTCTCGGGGACAGGCGGGGTCCCCAGGCACCACGGTACTGGAGCTTGAGTCCTAGGGCCACAGACCTGGGAGACAGAGCGGGGAGGGATGGGCCGCCGCGCCCGCCGACCAGCCCCCCGCGCCAGTCCTGCGAACCCCGCGCCCCGGCAGCCCGCAGCCCAGGGCCCGGGACCAGGCCGGTCCAGCCCGCTACATCCGCATCCACAGCCGCGGTCCGCCTCACCGCGCCGCCCGCGTCCTCGAAGCCTTGTTTTCGCTGAAAATGCCTGGCTTTGTTTCAGGCTGGAATGGGGGCGCTCGGGCATCCACATTAAAATTCCTGGCGCCCCAGCCTCGGCCGCAGCGTCTCCCCTGAGACTCCACTTTCGCTATTACTGTCAAGTACCCTTGACTCTTTATTTTTGCCCTTTTATCTATTACAACTAATTCGAGTTCTTTTGCCCTTTTCAGTCTAAGACGTGGCTTTCTGCAAAGCCTCCCCCTGCCAGCGGGCTCTCGGAGCGCCGAGCCTTTAGAAATTGAGGGGTTTACTGTCAAAATGAAAATTTCACTTCAAATTATCTTGGCTGATGCTCGCTCGCCAGGCCGGGGGCTCTCGCCGCAGCCTTTTGACAGGCACATCAGCGGCGAGCTTCCGAATCTGGATAATATCATCCAAGAGAGCGAAAGTCAATACGGTGACAGCGCGCGGGCGGATACAATCCAATTACTGCGCGCGGCCGGGGCAGCCTCAGCGCAGAGTGAGTCCCCATGCAGGGTACCCGGACTGCTCCCTCCGCTCAAGGTCTGGGCGTCGAGATCCCACCATTCAGAGTTGGGGGTCTGGCTGAGGTCCGGCCATCAAGGTCTCCCCACTCAGTGCCCCGGCAGCCCTGGAGACCTACCAGCTTCTGGCCGCGAGGTTTCCCTCTCTAGGGTGCGTAAACGTGCCTCATGGCCGGCTCCTACCGGACAATCAGGCCGCCTTTCCAGAGCCCCTGGCCCCTACCCCACAGGGCCCCGGGCTAGTCCCACCCAGCCCCTAGTAGAAAAATGCCCAGGCCTCGATTGTCCCTCAAAAACCGCCTGCCGGCCCCCGGAGAGGACCCGCTTCTCCATCTGGTGTCTCCGCGGTAGCCAATCTGTCCGCAGCCCAGGCAAGGGCCGCCATCGACTTGTCGCTGCATCCGAGAGCCTTTCCACCTTTGCAGGCTCACTGGGCTTGTGAACCTGTCCTACTCTGGAACATCTGGGACTTGTGGAATGAGGCATAGCAGGGCCGTAGGCAGGGGGCTTTAGGGCCAGGGGCCAGCCGGGAGTGCAGTGCTCTCTGCTCTCTCAGGGCACCCTCCAGGGACCCTGGCCGGGGGATAGACGCCTGGGGGAGGAGAACCGGGGTTTTGGAGGAAGCTAGGGGCCTGCACCTCCCAGGACCCTTGCTGAGGTGGGGCAAGGCCCATGTCCCCCATCCCAAATTGCTTTTTGGGTTCTTGTCCCTAATTCCTACCTAGCCCAGCCTCGGGTCTGTTGCGCTTCCTCCTCCTGGAGCCGTACCTAGCAGTGGGGGATCTTTACCAACAAGGCCCCGGGTCCCAGGAGGAAGGGGAGGCTGGATTAGGAGCCTTGTGGGGCTCTGAAAGGCCACCCACTCCCTCAAGGGCACGGTAAAAAGCCCCGTAGCAGAAAGGTTTCAGGGCTGTGATTTCCCGGCTCCTCCTCCACCAAAGCACAGTCCCAGGGAATTTAGAAAGTTTAAAAGTTATTCAAATTAATCTAGCCAAAGAAACTCCCATTCACTCAAAATTCTGGAGCCTGGTTAAAAGTTTTGGGTCTTTCATTCACTTCTGTTAGGGAGTTCAACAGAATCCTGAAAGTTTATTTTTTTTTTCCCTTTCTTTTTTCTTTTTTAAAATAGCCTTACCAAAACCCGTCTTAGGCTCTGCAGCCAACTTGCTGGGGACTCTGGTCAGTGCCCCTCCCCTCTCCTCCCTCTAGTGACCAGCCCCTTTTCTCCAAGTTTTCAAATCTCTACCTTGGAAATGTGTTCGTTGTGCAATGCAAACATCACTCAGTTTTATTGGTTTTGTTATATCAGCCTCTGAAGCAGGCAATTACTGGTGTGAGCATACATTTAAAAAACATAATTTTGTCGAGTCAAGAGTGTGCAATAGTGTAAATTCAGGGAAGTGCTTTGGGTGAGATGTGCTGAGGATGAAGTCAGAAGGTCAACAGGCTGAGGGGTCCTCAGAATGAACACGGGCATGCCTCACACCCAGAAGACAACTACACAAACAAAGCCTGGAACCAAAATGTCTTCTCCATGTAAACTTTTGTACGTAAACTTTATGCTTCAGGGCGGCTGCCTTTCAGCTTTGGGCGCAGCCTGATCCCACCGGTTCCTGAATTTGGGAATGACCAGGGTGGTTTGTGGACCCAGTGTGACATATCCAGGGGTTTGTCCGTGGTCCTGGGAGGCGGAGTTCAGACCCTCCTCCATCCAGGGTGGTGCGTGGCCTTTGCTTCGCTGCGCTTTCGCCTCGCTTTGGAAACTCAATAGAAAAAGAGTCTTGGATGAGCGAGCTGCAGCCTGAGCACCGGTTTCCTCCTGGGCCCCGGGGTCCCACCGAGTTAAGCGCAGAAGGGCTTCCCGCTGGCCTTGGGCACAGCCAGCAACTCCTTCGCGGTGCTGGCAGCAGGGGCATCGTGGGGCGCGGTGGGTGGGAAGGTGCGCGCCAGGGGCGACGTCAGCACATTGGCACCGGCCCCTAGAGAGCGGCCCAGTGGCCCTGGGTCCAGGAGGGCACCTTTGGCGGTGGCCCAGGCCTGGTTCAAAGTGCTGTGCCTGAGGACGGGGTCGTGAAAGACCCCATCCACCCAGTTTCTGAGACTAGTTACCGGGGAGTCCTGGTGCCTGTCTAGGGCACCAGCAGCAGCCGGGGCAGCAGGTGAGGAGGAGGGTGGCGCCAAGGAGATGGCGGCAGAGGCAGTGGGGCCTTGGCGCTTGAGCATGCACGAAGGAAATTCAGTCTGGCTCAGGCTGGTGGCGGCGGCTGCGGTAGCTGTGTGTGCCAAGGACCAGATGCGAGGCTTGACCTCGAGGCCCGCCGTTGTCCCAGCCTGCACAAAGCCCAGCTTGGCCTCGCAGGCCTGCGGGCCGCCCCCCGCAACCGGCTGCTGCTCCGGCCCTGCCACCACGCTTCGGAGGCAGCTCCGGGCCCTTTCCAGGTCCTGGTCCAGGACAGCCCGGCCATCGGCGGTCAGGGACATCCGGTGGGTGCTCGAGGCCTCTTTTGCAGGGGCACTGGGACCGTCAGGTGCAGTGGAGATGCGTTCCAGACCACCGTCCAGGGGCTGGAAGGGAGGTTTCAGCTCACAATCTGGGGGCTCCGCCTCCAGTGGGTCGAAGTCCTCCAAGTCGCTGAGCTCAAGATCCTTCTCTTCTTTGCCTATGGGTTCTGCCCAAGAGAGAAAGAGTAGTCAGTTGAGGGAGAGAGGGTGGTGGGTTAACCAGGCCCCCACCTCCTTCTCCTTCCTAACTCTGTGTCCATGGTTACAGGGCCTGACACTGGAGCTGGAAAAAAGAACCACGCCTTTCCTCCTACCTCTCATCTCCTTCAGAGGCTTCCAGTCCTCAAACTGGCAACACCTGTGAGTGGATTTCAGCCTCAAATCAATGATGGAGGGGTGTGTAACATTTTAAACGTAATGTTGGATTTCTTTAAACATGCTCTTGGCTTACCACCACAGTCCTCCCCACACCCCTCCCCCTCTTCCAGCTCCATTTGGGTTATTTCATTCATTTGCTGCCCAGGGCCCCTAGGGCTCAATGCCTTTAGCCAGCCTAGAAGCCATAGAGAAGGCTCAGGGAATGCTGGCCTTAACCCCCAGCGTCAGCATCACCAGCCTCTACCCACCTTCGTTCTTGGTGCTCTTGACAGGCTCTTCTCGGGCATCCTCTTCAGCCCCCTCTTCCTCCTCACCCTCTCCATAGGGCCGCTTCTCATCCGCACACTTGTTCCTGGGAGGCCAAGTCATCTTGTTCTCCTTCTTGAGGCGCCGGCGCGCATTGGCGAACCAGGTGGAGACCTGCGTGAGGGTCATCTTGGTGATGATGGCCAGCATGATCTTCTCGCCTTTGGTGGGGTAGGGGTTCTTGCGGTGCTCCTGCAGCCAGGCCTTGAGCGTGCTGGTGGTCTCCCGCGTGGCGTTCTTGCGCCGCGTGCCGCTGTCCATGGTGCCGTATCTGGAGACAGGTGGGCAATGGGGCACCGGGGCAAGGCACACGCAGGCTTTTAGTCCCCATCGTGGGGGTGTATTTATGGGTAAGGCCTGAGCTGCAGCCCAGTGCTGGCCCAGGCTGCTGCCCGTGGCGGCTGCTATTTTTGGCCCAAGGACAAATGTTTATATTTGATATAAGGAGCCTGGGCTCCTTCCTCAGCCAGAGAGGTCAGAGGTGGTGCAGGGGCACAAAACCCAGCCCTGTGTTTGTCACTTTATATAGACATATATGTCTCCGAGTGAGTTCCTTTACCTGGTCTCTCTCCTACCCTTTCGATCCCGAAACCAGGAAAGTGTGTCACAGAGCTGCGAGCCAGACTGTGTAACGACCATGGGCAGAACTGGTCATCAGCGCCAGTGAAGAAAAAGTGCCCAGAGGGTCTATGCGGCATTTATGCGGTTAGAGATGTAATTGTTGCCCCTCGGAAGATGGGACATGCTATCTGCGAGTGAGCAAGGACTTCCTCCACTCTGGTTCCCACTGTAGGGGCGGTAGGCGGGCCGGACACACCACACGGGCTGCATTTCTTGTGGAGGGAGGCATCCGATGCCTGGGCAGCGAGATGCGACTCCCTCAAACCACAGCATAGTGAAGGCTTTGGGAGACTAGACAGCTGGGAGTAAGTGGTGGGGTGGAGGACTGGAAACACTTTTAACCCTGGCCGCACAGGCTAGCCAGGTAGCAGGCTGGGACCAAGGCCCGGCCAGCCCGACCTGGAGAGAGGAACGCCCCTTGTTCTGCCTCCCAATCTTTCAGAGGGGGTCGCGAGGCTGCTTGGGGTGGGGGGCGGTGGTGATCGCTATCAGAGGGCAAGGGCCCCGGTGGCAGTGAAGACCCCGGTGTTAGTGAAGAGGGTTGGTCCCTCACCTGTCATAAGCGTACTGGCCCAGTGCCGGCTCGTACGGGTAGTAGGCGGCGGCGGCGGCGGCGGCGGCCGGCGCGAGGCCCGCATGCGCAGATCCAGGGGCGTCCTTGGAGTCGAAGCTGTTCTGTGGGAACAGCAGCCTAGGGTCGCGGCTTCCAGGACACCGCCCAGCTCAAGCTCCTCCCCTAGGCCCCGGTCCTAAGTGCTTCTTTCCCATCCCCAGACTGTGCCTAGTGCCTAGGCAGCGAAGGAGCCCTAAGACTTGGAATGAGGAGACTGCTGGGGTTTGTTTCGGGAATAGGAAATGAGTGTAGAGGAACCAGAGACCGGAGGATGAGATTGGAGGAAGGAAGGGGGTGGAGGCTGGGGGACAACAGAAGAGAGGGGGGTGAGGAGGGACGGGAAATAAAGGGGGGGGGGAGAAGAAAGGAAAGAAATGGGGAGGAGCCAAGGGGACTTGAGAGGGGCGAGGGAGGGAGGTGAAAGGGAGGGGTCATTGCGGGCGCTCGGAGGAGAGGAGGTAGAAGGAGGCCAGGAGGACGAAGGGGGATAGGGGAACTGGGCGGGGAGGGAAGAGCCCGCTCCGACAGAAACAGAAATCTGATCAGAACTTAATAGCCATCTGAGAACAATCAATACATTAAATACTACGGCCCACCTGCCAGGTGGTTCCAAACGGGGTGGGGTGGGGTGGGGTGGGGTGGGGGCGGAGCTGGTGGTGCTCCCAGCGCCCAGGCTTGGAGGTGCAAAGTTGAAGGAAGCTTCTCCTACCCCCTACAGTCTTGAGTCCAGGGGTCTCACGCCTCTTCCTCGGGAGTCGGGGAAAGTGAAGTTGGCAAATAGAGGGGTAGGGGCGTGGCGTGGCAGGGAAGGTTGGAGATACCCCCTCTCCACCCTTACCAGCGAGTAAAAGGCGGAGGCCTCGGAGCCATAGGTCACGTAGTTGCCGTAGCCCTGTGAGCCGCCATAGGGGCCCCCATAGACGCCCAGCGCGGCGGCCGAGTTGAGCTCGTGTCGCGCAGTGGCCAGCAGCCGGCTCTCGTAGACCGGGCAGTAAACTGGTGCTTGGGCCGAGGCGGCAGGCCCGGAGTCCGCAAGCGTGCGGCCACCTGATTCGCAGCACGTGCTCAGCGAGTTGGTGGTCATCAGGAACTGGGGGAGAGAGGGGCCGCGAGGAAAGGCGGGCCACGGAGCTCAAGGCTGGGGCCCTCGTTCGCCATCCGCCCGTCACTGCCCAGGAGGCCGTGCCCCAAATCCTCTGGGTCTACAGCCATCCACGTCCGACTGCGCGCTCCTTCCCGTGGGAAGCCTGGGCGCCCAGGCCCCCCTCCGGCCACGTGGGTTCCAGCCGGCCCAGCCCAGGAGTGTTCACACCCTCCCTGAGGGGTTTCCAATGCCACACACTCCCTCATGTGCCACATCTCTCCTGGGTCCTTGGGGTACGCTGAGGCACAGCCTCAGAATCCAGGGGGTGAAGGTCAAATAAGCGGGAACTGGGGTCCCCGCCTGTCGGCATCTCTCAGCATTCCTGCCCTCCCCGGGGCTGGGCACAAGCGGCACGTGGCACAGGCTCTGCCCGCTGGGAAGTGACATCGGATCGCCGGATAGCCTGCCAGCCAGTGTTTCCAGCCTCGCATGGCCTCCTTACCTGTGGTGCCGAGGAGTAGGGGTATCCAAACTGCGGGTAGGACATGGCGAGCGCGGCCCGGGGCCGGCAGGCGGGCTGGTGGGGTCCTGTGCGTGGGGGCCGGCGTGGCGCGGCCACTGCTCCGGGGCCGCCCGCTCCTATGCGCTGAGGGGAGCGAAGCAGGATAGCCGGTTAATTCATCCACACACTCAGCAAACTTTTCTAACCGAGTAGGAGAGTGAGCCGCGGCAGCCGCCGCGATCCTTTTAGCTTCGCAATCCAGAGCCTCGAGGGGGCTTTGGGACCGACCGGCCTCACAGCGGCGACACAAATACATATTTTGCAAAAAAGGAAAAAAAAAAAAAAAACCAGTCTCGCGAACCCGTCAAGTCAGATGTGCGCGGCTTTAAGCGGCGAAGGCTCTGACGTCAGCCCCCGCCTCTGCCTGGCCTGGCCGCAAGGGCGCGGGTCACTCGGCCGAGGTCCGGCCGGGCGGGGCGCGCGCAGGGTCCAAGGCGCTTTAACAAATGAATTTCATCCAAGGAGTCAAGATCGTCCCAACGAACAGCATTTCTCCTTAGTCACTGAGGACGGGAGGCACTTTTAATTAGAATTTAATTAATGAGCAGCTGCTCCTCCCCGCGCCACTGTAATCATTAGTCTCAATTACAAATAAGACGTATGAGGGACACACGAGTGAGTCTTCATGAAGATGTAATCAACAGTTAAAATTAGACCCGCGCGGGCGCAGGCGGTCTCCCGGCCTCGGTTCTCCATGCCCCTCCAGGTGGACGGAGAGCGGCTCCGCGTTCCAGGCGTGTGGCTGCGCCGGCCGGACTATTGTTTAACCGGGAGTCCGCAACGTCAGTTTGAACCCCACTCCGGGATGGGGTTCCAGAACCGGATGCGGCAACAACAATGTCTGCATCTGGAGGTCAAAATGCCCTCAGGTGTGTGGGTCCTGGGGCCTTCCCCAAAGCCCCCCACTTCAGGGTTCGGTGGCCCAAAGGCTGCGGGGCTTGCCACACTTGGCCGCTGTGTCCCCGGGGAACGCAACCCCCACCCCGCGCCCCCTTCTCCTGAGAGTTCCCGCCCAGCGCACGGTCCTGCTTTTCCTCCTCCTACTCTTCCCGCGGGTGCACTCCCTCAGCCACCGCCCCCCCCCGCCGCCCCGCCCCTCGCAGCTAAACCCCGGCCTGCCAAAAATACTGCGCGCTCCGAAGAGCAGGTTTCGAGACTCTGCTTTGGGGCGCCTCCCGCTGCCCTCGCTCCTCCCGGCGACCTTTGGGGGTAGGCATGAGGGAGGGGCTCTGGGCATCAGACAGAGGCGTTCTTCCCAGCCCATTTTGCAAAGCTCCATGCGCAGGGCGCACTGATCGGTCTGGAGAAGAGGGCAGAGTGCCCACCCCAGGACTTCCACAGCCAGTCCCGGCCCCGGGACCTTGCTCTAGTCCAAAGAAGAGGCCAGCACGCAAATAGCAAGGGAGCGTCCGGACCACTCGGAACTCGCTCCACGCCTTGAGTGCCCGCCACCCTCCGGGGCCCCGGCTCGCCCCCGCTGCTCTTGCCCCGCTAGGCCTCCAGGGTTCGGAGGGAGCCGCGCTCGGCGGCGCTGTGCAGACTTGCTGGGAGAGATTCCTGGGTTCAGACCTGTGAATTGCCCCAGGGTCACCCTCTAATTAATGATGACGTTCTCACTCTCTCCCCAGCTGCAAGCCTGGCTCCCAGAAACGAAATCTGCCCACTCTGACAGCTCGGTTGAAGGTGATTGATGACTATCTGGAGACCACAGTACGCATCATATAATATCTGCTGCGTAATTGCTTTAATTTACAGATGAAAATACGAGTTCTCAGATCGCGTTGGACCGCAGCCGGCCACGTCCGAGCTGCTTGCAAGGGAAAAACATCGGAAATAATGAATAGCCGCTCCATGCAAATTATTCAGACAGTTTAGCGTCTGTAGCCGGGAGAGATATATAAAGAACACGAGTCAAATGACATTAATAATTGTTTTTTGAATTCTGTATTGATTTCTTGGCGGCCGTGTTTATTTCTTTCTCACCTGAATTGCTAATATCACCTTCCTGTAAATAATAAGAAACTAGCCACCGGGGCTTCTTGGAAGAAATGAATCTCTCAATCTCTCTCCGTCTTTCTCCTCCACTCCTCCCTTCCCCCATCGTCCCTCCTCCCAACTCCCTCCAGTTTTCTGGCTTCCGCTCAGGCTTTTTCTGAACGTTCTCTTACTTTCCATTATTTATTGTTTACAAACAACTCGCTCTCTCCCAGTAATGAGGCCTGGCTGGCCGAGGGAGGGGCATCAGGCCAGGGTGGCTGAGGGCTCAGGGAGCAGGAATCCCGATGCAAGGTTGGCATTCAGCATCCTTTCCTCTCCCCACTCCCGTGGCCCCAGCCTGGCGATTGTCAGAGCTCAGCGGACTGGGGAGTAAGCCACCAAGTCTGGCAGCGCTGCATATCCAGGCCTGACAGCCGCCGTTCCTTCACCCGGACTCGACCACAGCTCTCTGAAAACTGTGGCACTCCGAACACTGGATTTTTTGTCTTCTGAGCTATGTGCTCACCCTGGGAGCGGGCAGGCACAGGCCCTCCATGGGGGGACCTGGGGGAGGGCTTTCAGGAGCCTCCTTTGACCACCACTGCACTATTCTGATTTCCTCTCCGGAATGAGTGAGTAAATAGGCACTCCCAGCCCCACTGGCTGGCCCTGTTCTCAGGGGCAACCTTCTCCCTGATCCTGAAACCCAGCTCCGGGGCTCTACTTTCCCAGGCGGCTAACTGCTGATTCTCTGCTTTCTGCCTGGCCCAGGCTCGGCCACCCTGATTGGGGAAGCTTGGGGCTGCTGGTCGATCACCCAGGTCCTGTGTACCAACCCTGGAGGCAGGGTCAGCGCGGTCTGTCTCTAGACCACCACACACCGCAACATCCCGCTGACAGCCTGCTTCCCGACTGAGGCCCGCCTGTCCAAACTAGGGTACTTCCTGTGCCATCTTTGTCCCATAGATGATACCGGAATAACTATCAAGTGCCCTTCACTAAAAGGCCAAGTCTTGAGGTGAGGCACCCGGGTTTTCCTCCTACAGCAGATAGAACAGGAGCCTCAGCATCTCAGGTATCATCTGCTAAAATGCACCTGCACAGACGAGAGTGCTGGGCCCACCTCCCTCCCCTCAAGGGAACCCCGTTTCTAAATACACCCCTGAGCAGGACCTGCCGGAAACGCGCGGTTCCCCACGGTCAGGGCAGCAGCTGGGCTTGGTGAGGTGCCCCACTGGCCTGTTGTATTCCAAAGCAGCCAAGGATGAGGGTGCCTGTGGTCGGCTAGTCCCAAATGTTAGAGGCCTGTGGGTCGCTCTTGCCCGGGGATGTTGCAGGCTGTCCGAACCTTGGAGGGCCTCTGGGGAGATAGGCCCCGCCCTGACCTTCTTCCTCTCGGGTGGGATTTTCCTCCCTGTCATCAGCTGAGCCCAGGCACTCTCGGTTCCCGGAGTCGTCCCTGAGATCACCCAGTCCTCCTGCACCGAGAGCGAGGCTGGGGTGGGGATGGCGGGGGACTCTCTCCAGTCCAGCGAAGTTGACCTCAGAAAGAGGCCGGAGGCGGGAGCAAGCAGCACTAGGCACAGGCCTTCTTTTCTGAGGCTTAGGGCCGAGGCTTGGGGCGCCTGTGCCCGCCCACTGTTCTCGGACACCCGGGCGGGGTGAGGGGTTAAGAAGCGTTCTGGTTGTCGGTGGCGCCACACTCGCGAACCCTGGGGTTGGCAGGTTACTCCTTCGCAGCCCGTCTTCTGGGGTCTCCCGCAAAGCCAGTGGGGCGAGCTGCAGCACAAGCGTTGAATACTCCTCCCCGAAACGCCCTCCATCCCAGCCGGCTCCCTCTTGCTCTCCTGCCGCGCCCCCGCCGCGCGCCCGCTGGGCCCGCCCGAGCCGGAAAGGCGCGCAGTCCGGGTGTCCAGGCGCAGGCCCCGCTGGCCCGCGCTGGCTCCCTAGCCCCGCACCGTCCCCCCCGCACCCCGTTTTTTGCAACTTGCAGCGAACGCGGCGGCCTCCAGAGACCCCACCGGCAGGCAGCAAACTTTGTGTTCTCCAGCGCAGGAGCGATCCTCGCAAAGTTTGTGCGGCCGAGCCCACTCCCTACCTGCGCTGGGGACGCGCCCGCCCGCGCGGCTGAGGCGCTGGGCCCACGGGGAGCAGTGCGCAGCCCGGGACGCACCGGGGAGTCGCCACCGTCGCAGCCGCCCGAGCCCCTCGGCGGCCGCGCGGAGCCTCCGCCTCCCCGTTAGGGGGGAGGGGTCTCGAAGCCCCGGAGCGGGGGCGGGCGCCGGGACCTCGCCTACCTGCGGTGGCACCCGGACACTATCGGCGGCCCGAGAGAGCTCTGCGCAGCCACTCGGCGCGCGCGCTCCGGCGGGGAGCAGGCGACAACTAATGGAGACATTTCCAGGCGGAGCACCTGGCGAGCAGAGCGCGCCGGCGTCCCCAGGCGCCGCGGTCGTCAGTCGAGCCCGCACCGGCGTGACGTGGGCGAGCGAGCGAGCTGCTCCCACCCGGCCGCCCATTAACGCTTTCCCCCGCGGGCGCCGCGCACTTGCCAACTTTCCCCTCCGTGGCCTGCGCTCTAGGTACACGAGGTGTAGGAGCTGGGATGAAGAGCGCCCTGGGGGGTGGGGTGGCAGGGACTCCCAGCTCAGAGAGGATACCGAGCGTAACAGCACAGCAGGAAGGCGCGCTGACACAGTGTAGCCAAACGCTGCGCCAGCTGTCCTGTTCCAGAGGAACTTGGGCTCCTCCGGGGCTCTTAGGAGGTCCCTTCCGGTGCCCTAGTTGTCAGGTCTGGGTCTGTCGGGTCGGAGGAGCCGCACTCCCACACAGCCTCCCTCCTTCTTGGCCCCAGTTTCCCAGAGTCCCCCTTGACCGTGGTATCCCCTTCCTGGAAGTCATGTTGAGGGCTCTTGTGGCCTGCTTCTCCTCTGACTAGGCTGAGTGGGTGGGTGGCCTGTCCTGGCTGTCAGGCCCTTCGCTTTCTTTCGTGCTCCCCTTCACTAACACCCGCCTCCCCCCTCAGTCTTATCGCAAGGGAGCCCACTTGGTGGTATCCCCACTGGTCTCCACCTACTGGGCTCTTGGGGGCAGCAGGCAGGGCAGTTCCTGAAAACCTTGGTATGGGTGTTTCCAAGGTAACAGAAACTGCTGGGGGTGGAGGGGTGGGGGTGGGGATGGTGGGGACTCAGGCCTGCCCGGGATTGGGAGCTCTGACGGTAGAAGCTTTCCAGGACTGTCCAGAGCCCTATTATGCTGGACCTCTGGCCTGGGAACACACCTCCAAATGGAGACAGCCTGTGACAGTGTCCAGGAAGGAAGACAGTGTCCTGGGTCCCAGGTCCATGCCTGCCTGGCCCTCACTTGGCCATTCCAGAACTCCTTGCCCTGCACTCCACTGCCCAACCTTGCACCTCCATCATTTTCATTCAAAGAACTACAAACTTTCTCCTCAGGATCTGTGATGGTGCAATGACACTTGAGGTTTGTTGTTACTGATAACGAAAAGAAGTCATTTGCTTCCCCCGCCCCCCTTTCTCTCCTCAAAGCTATCTCTAGTCACTGGAAAGGCAATGCAGGTCTGCTTACTTCACCACCAGCAGGCTGGGGTGGTGTTTGCCTCCAGGCCTCGCTCGCTCGTACCTCTGCTTTGTCCATGGGACAGGGCTGGGGAAGAAGAGAGCCAGTTGCCCAGAGCTTCTGGTGGCTTCTCTGAGAAGGACACAGCTTTGGCCTCTGGAAACACAAAGGTGGGCTTTGTCTGGGCTGCAGACCATGCCAGGGTAGCCCATGGGTTAATTCCCTGGGCTGACAGAAGGGGTTCTAGGAGGGGGAGACTTCGGCGGGGAGTGGTGGGGATGGGGTGGGGGATTCATTTGATTCTGCTTGGAAAGAAGGAAATGGAGGAAAGGCCCCTTGCCACCCAGCACCCTGAGATGGGAGGGCTTTGCTTAAGTCCTGATCCTGCTGCTCAGCTCCCCTTCCTTGTCTTTGTCTCTTCCTTTGGGCCATGCAGGATGCTCCTGGCAGGGCAAATGGGACAAGCTTGACCCTCCCTCCTTGCAGAGCTCACCTGGGACTTAGATTCTTTTCATAGTTGAAGATAAGCAAGGCAGTTTGTGCTTACAACCTTGATTTGAAGATAAATTGCAGCTTCACTCAGGCCTCCCAACAACAGCAAACCACAGGCCTGTGGAGAAAGGAGCCCAGGGCAGCCAGCAGCCTCGGAGTCTCCGGGTCCTCCAGGACATCCACAACCCGACCCCACCGGGTGTCATGGGAGCTCTCTTGCCCTGCCTTTTGAGGGAAGCCTCTCCTTCACTGACACCCTCAAAGGCCTGACCTTGCCCTGGACCCCTGGTCATGTGACTGGAAGCATCCGCGGCCATCCGCTGCCCCTGTACCCTGAACTTCTGGGGCAGAGAAATGCCCCATCCTTCCCGCCATATCATGGGCCCTCCCAAGCTGCTGCTCTGAGGCAATGATGGAAATACCCTAGGTCTGGGCGAGGGGGGCTGGCAGGGAAAGTCCCACATTGGCATCAGTGAGTCATTAATCCAGAAGGTGAGACGACAGCTGCTGCCACCCTGGAAGGACAGCAGTCCTCCCAGGGCCAGGCCCTGTGCTGTCACAGGCCAACAGCACCCCCCTCCCCCATCCTGCCAAGCCCCCACTTCTGGTCAGTACTTGCTTCCTGGTGGATCCATCTTCTCTCAGTCCCTCCTTTGTTTCTCCTGCTGGCAGAGCTGTGGAGTGCAATCTGAAACAAGAGTCTCCGTGCCCCAGGGCCTGGCCATGCTGCTGCACCTCCCCCTGGCCTGGATGTTGCTGCAACATGTAGAGGCATCTGCTGGTTGAAACTGCTGTGCTGAAGCTGACTGGGCCGGCTCTGACACTGCCCCGCGCCTGCTGTGGCCAAGGGGCCCGCAGGCTCGTTCTCCCCCTGGGGACACAGGATGGGCAAGAGGCTCTTACTTGGGTCAAAGGGGAGGATGTAGGAACTGGTCCTGAGTAAAGACAGCTTCAGAGGAACACTGGCACTGGTGTCCTAAAGATGCCCTTGCCCATGGAAGGGTCTGCCTGTGGAAAGGACTCCTCCGTCTGACTTAGCAGCAGAGTAGTGTTTCAGAGCCAGGACCTGAAGGGTATAGAGTGGGGAGCGACACCTTTCCCTGAGGCTCCTGGCTTTTGTGTGGTTCCCAATCTCTTGGCCCAGCTGGCCCTCAGGCCCCAGGGAAGGGGCTTTCTCCCTTTCTCCCTTGGTAGTGCAATGCCAAACATGGAATTACCTAAAGAGAGAGGTCTGAGGGGTTTCTTTTTGAAAGCAGAGCTGTGCTCTGGGTAGAGGCAGCAATATGTGGGCTGCCCGCAGGTCAGAGGTGATTATGGTCACTGCACAGGGTGACCTTCGGTGGACTGAGGGGCAGGGAGCCTCACACTTCTGGTCTCATTTTTATTTCTCACTGTTTGGTCCTTGTGAGTTTGGAAGGAGGCTGAGTGAGCAAGGGTTAGACAGTGTTTCCTTTCTCCTTAGTTCAGGAATAAATACGGTGTTGTGTCTATAATGCCGAAATGTGCCAGTGGATTTTAGGCAGGTTTTTATTATTAAAAGTGAAGGGTTGTTAATTCAGACAATGTCTGTAGTCTGTACATTTAAACTTGAAATGTTTACCCAGCACAGCCTCAGATCATAAACGTCCTGGCTAGAAAAGCTATCCAAACAAGATGGAGTTATTTTAAATTGTAGAGAAAGGTAACGGTACACACCATTGCCCTGTAGTTCAAATATCCTTTTGAATTCTCTGACATAGTTTCAGAAAGGAAAATCTTTAGCAGGGCGAAAAGAAACATAAACATGTATCCTAAATGCACGAGCCAGTGTTCCTGTAAGGGACCCCAAAAACATTAAATAGCTGATACGAGAGGGGTTCTCAACCTAGGAATTTCATCTGGCGTCCGGCACGGAATTGGCACAAAGAATATACTCACTATAGTGAAAAGACCCCCAGGTTCCTGCTTTGTGACCTTTCTCACATGTGGTGTTCTGCAATTGTATGCAAAAAGTAGTTATACCAGTAGCGGCGACAAGCTACTGGGGGCATCTTCACAACTCAGTAAGTAAATGAAAGAAATTGGGGGTGGAAGTGGCGTGCACGTGAGGTCAACCGTCTGTTTGGAGCCTTGCCTGCCCACTGGGCACCTGCTCTCAGGCCGAGCAGCCCTCGGTGAGTTGGCATTGCGAAGGGCTGGGTTTCCAAAGGTCTGTGGGAAGCTGTTCAGCGGTGGCCCCAGAAGGAGCACAGAAGCTGGGGGACATTGACCAACATGGCTGCTTACTGTTTCATTGTCTGCAGCTGAGACACTGACTCGCGCTTGCATTTAGTTGTCCTGTGAATACCGGTGCGACCTCTTAAAGGGGTGGTTCAGGGGGATGTGAGGCAACCCAAAGCAGTCCTGAAAATGAGAATATTTCTCCCGTCTTCGGATGTCTGTGGAAGGTTACACGTTCTACGTTAAGCCTCAGTGTAGCTGGAGGCGGTGGCGCCCCGGCAGTGACCGGCATAACCACCAGCTTTTAATTACTGTGGCAGTAAATCACACAGGAATGTCCCCCAGGAGTTAGCTGATTTTTTTTTTAATATAAAAAAACCATTTCAGAGTATTTTTGAAATTCAATTAATTGAAGGCTCCAGATAAAAGGAACACATTCTTAATGGCTTTAAAATAGCCCTGGGGGAGGAGAGGGAGTGCAGAGCCAACTTCAAAGTGTGACAGAAATACTCACTGTTTTTACTTTAAAAGTATCCAGATCAATGACTCAGTCAAAATTACTTATACATTTAACAACCTTTCCATTTTCTGTTTGAAAATGACAGAAAGGGACTCTCTCACCGCCATGATACAACAGCGCCTGGAAAGGAACTGTGGTTCCCACACTCACCAAAGTGGCCTCAGCTCTGGTTGGGACCAGGCTTGGGCATGGGGCTCAGGGAAGCAGGCAGTATCCGTTTTCAATGGTGGAGGGTGTAGAAGTGTCCAGGGGCTGCCTGTTTGGCTTAAACCACAATAGGTTACTCTCTTCCTAGGTCTGGAAGTGAGAAGTCAGCGATCAGGATGTGGGCAGGCTGGTCCCATTGAGGCCGCGAGGGCGGATGTGCCCTAGGCCTCTCCCAGCTTCTGGTGGTCCAGGTGATCACTGGTGTCCCATGTAGACACACCACCCTGACCGCTGCCTCATTCTGCATGCAGATGTCTCCTGTGTGTGTCCATCTCTGTGTCTAAACCTTCCCTTGTTATGAGGATACCAGTCACATTGGATTAAGAGCCATCCTAATAAGTCATCTTAACCAATTTCATTTGTGATGACCCTATTTCCAAAGAAGAGTTTCAACATATGAATTCAGAGGGGAGGGCGGCACAAAGCAACCCATAACAGAGGGGTACCCTGAAATGCCATATGTTGGCCTTGTTTTCTCTCTTCAGATTGTTCTTTTCCTCTCTGCCTCATCACCACAGCTGG